AGAAGCAGAGATTCAGCAATTGTGGTCCGGGGGGACTTACCCCTGCCAACCCTCCTTTAACAGCGAGCTGAAACCTTACACATTAATACAGCCACAGTTACATTTGTGGTCTATACTGCATGATACCTTTTGAATTAAGCAATCAGTTAATAATAATGGAGCCTAGGTGTTGCAGGAAAAAAAATGTTCCAACTGATTTGTGCTGTCTCTTTATTTTACTTTATATTTTCTTGTATGTATATAAATATATATTTATACTTTAAGAAGGCAGACTTCTTCTAAAGTCTTTCTTCTTTTTCACCCATTTTAATCCAGTCAGTGTACTGTAAAATGAATCGTTCCACCATACAAAAGCACCTAACTCAGGGATGAACCAGCGCTGTGTCCACACATAACAGACAATTTAACAAAGAACCAACTTTATGCATTTTGTTACTAACTGTCTGTCAAAAACACATCATTTGTTTCTCATTTCTTTAGTCAAGTCTACAAAGAAAATGCCAAGATATCACAGTTTAACAGACACAAAATAGTATTTTCACATCAATAAGCTTAGACGAGCTATTAGCCAAAAACTTGGTACATCTCAACATGCAACGTGTCCTTACAAATTGGATGCATCTGGACCTTAAGCAGATCCATTTTCTGTTCACTGAAGCCTCGTCAGAAATGATCTTAAGGCAACTGTCAAGAAATAATTCTTAAAGAAGGGAAACAGGGAGAAAAAAACAGAGATGTGCTAAGTTCCACAAGGACTTATCTGAAAATCAGTGGTAGCAGGTCTTATTGAGTGATTAATCCAAATTTGAAACTCTCAGTTTAAATCATCATCAGTAGTTACTGAGGAGGTCAGGAGGGAGGTACAACAGTGAATGTCTGCAGCCATCTGTAAAGCATAGTGGAGACTCTGTCATTGTTTGAGTCTGGATTACAGCCTGTAGTGTTGGATACCATGTCAAAATTGGTGGAATTATCCATGTACAAAAGTACTCCTAGAGTTTGTGGGATCATCTTGACAGAGAAGAAGACAAAAGGAACCAAACATCCAATGTTTGGTTGAATGTCCTTCAAGAAGTTTTTTAAAACTGTGCAATAATAAATAAATGATGGGTGGCTTAAGACTTTTGCACAGCATTATATCAGACAAGATCAAAATATAAACTGCTTTAAATCCTAGTAATTCATGGCGAGAATGTGAAAGACTAAATGACTCAATAGTTTCCTGTCATATGTGAATATGCTGAAATACCCATCCCTGCATTATAGAAAATGACATAAACTAATTTTAACAAATTTTATTTAATGATAACATTAATTGTATGAACGAGTCTGCATCACGGTGAAATGATTACAAAATAAAGTATTAAACCCTTGCCTGTATGTCCAGAGTGACTGCTGCAGAGGGAAGCTCCAGAAAGGCACCCGAAATCGAATCTACAACATTACAGCATATAAGGAAGCAAGACTGAGAATGCAATTGAAAATTTAAGGGAAAGAGGCAGCACTGTTCTGTGAGGTCAATGCTTTCAGCTCATGCAGCTGTAAGTGGACTATAGCTATAGTATGAATTTTAATAATCTGCCAGTGTTATCATCTGAGCAACAAGCAACCTGTCCAGATGTGTTCTTACAGCCTGGGAACTGCACAATCCCATGTGATCATGAAAACAGGTGAAGAGAGTAAAAAAGTATTGAAAAAAAAATGTTCATATTAGAAGTTTGCATACTTCCTTATGTTTTTACTCTCTAAATATCAGACTGTGGATGATGCAGATGGCTTCCATATTGTCATTTTTACACAGTACTTTTGATATTTGATATGTACACAGATGATTAAATGAACATGGGAACCAACATGTAAACGACTGAGGACACCCACACTTAAAGAGAGTTATGTTTCACATTGTGTATTTGTTCACGTTTTGTGTAACCTTGGGATCATTTTACATCTCTTTAAACTTATTTTTGTACTCTAATATTAGTTTGATGTCTTCATAGTTACTTTGTTACTTGCTTTTAATTGCTTTCCATCTCTGCTCATTTTGCATCACAGTTTTTGTCTCGCTTCGGTTATTCTGTATCTGTAACAAATCTTTGTAGCTTTGTGGTCATTTGCACCTATTTTTTTGTCCCACTTTTATCACTTTTTGTTTCATTTGGATCATTTTTTTACTCTTTTCTTTGTTGTTTTGTGTGTTTTGTCAGTGTTTTGTATGACATTATGTGTCTAATATCAGTTGTTTTACATTTCTTTGTAGCCACTTTGTGGCGATTTAATATAGCGTGCCTGGCAGGGCCCTTCACTAATCAGTCTCTATATCAGTCCATATACAGGAAACCCAGCACAGTCACGTTAGACGAGCTCTATATAAAATCTGCATCAGTCTGTGCAATTCCTTGAATTGGCCTCTGGATGGAGACCCTGAGTCACTGTAACTGGTGCTAGAAATTTCTAGCTTCTGTGTGTGTGTGTGTGTGTTCTCTCTATACTGCAAAATAATTTGTGTCGTACCTCTGTTCAGTACAGTAAGGTTATAGTCATATTCTTGTTACATAAAACGCATTAAAAGAATTATTCATCATGTTGAAAGTCATTAATATTGCAGAAGAGTAAATCAGACAGAGCGTACAAGATAACAAAATGAAGGACAAATTAGGAGGAGAGGACTCAGAATGTACGAGAAAGGTGAGATGACCGGAGGAGGAGAGGAGACTCACTGTCCTCACACTGTGTTGGTAAAAATGATGACTGAGTTTTTCCTTTCCATGCAGACAGCCTGCCCACCGATGTCCTTCGTCAGGCACTGCAGAGGAGAAAGACGAATCAGCACTCTCTCTTCAACCATCATCCCTCCCACTCTCCCTCCACATTTCTGTGCTGCTCCATCTCTTCTCAGACTTGTCGGGCTCTGTGGTGCAGCACATTGAGGTGACCTCCTGCAGCTCCACAGCCAGACGAGACCACGCAGGAAGAAGCTGCTGCATCATTCAGCCTTGGCAGGAGGTAAGACCCCAAGAAGATGTTCATCTGCACCTTCAGGGACTATATGTGAGGACTGGGTCGCTGGATGGTACTAGATGAGCAAGCCTGTGGAAATACCCAGATTATGATAGCAGGCAAAAGCTGCGAGCAGAGACAAACAGGCTTTAACCTTTAAGATTAAAATGATAATGCTTGTGATAACGATAAATATGAAGTGTTTCAATGTAATTGGAAAGGCATGAGAAACAGTTCAACTAAACAAACAAGGGAAAACCAGAACCGTGACATCCTCTTTTTTTATTCTGCATCATCATTAGATTTTGCCACAGGTGGATCAAGTTGTGGATGTAGGCAGAGGACAGAGCATTTTAACCTTGTTTTGTTTTTGTTTTTTTAAATCAAAATCCATACTAGAAATATTGTTATGACCTCACCCAATCTGACCTCATATGAACCCAGAGAGCCCAACCCACAGAGATCATAATACAATTTGATGCGTCACTGCAAGCTTGTTTACAATTTATGTGTTGCTCTTTCTTTCTTTGTCCTCAGGTTTCCTCTTTTTTTTAGTTTAAAGGTGGATGGGACTTTTTCAACATGCTTAAGTCTCTATTTGTATATGGAGTGTTGGGAGGTGAGAAACATTTTTAGGAAATATTACTGTCGAGGAGGGAAAAAAGCACTTGAATGCTTAGGTTTGAAACTGCTTCACAAAGTATGTAATTTTGTGTTTTTTGTCCCAGTGATGCTCATTCCAGTAAAATCTAAGCGTATTACCGTGTGCGTGGAAGATGATGAGGAACTGAGAGTAGACTGTCTGATCGAGCCCAAGCCTAATAAAATCAACACCTATCAGTTCTCGTGGTCTATCGGACCCAGGCAGGAGACCATTAACACCAATGTGTCCGGTGATTCAGCAAATAAGGAGTTCAAAGACAAAAGCAGAGTGGAGGAGCTGGAGCCCGTCGGCTACAGAATGACGCTGTCAGACTTCAGAGATAACCTCTCAGACAACACCACCTTCCTGTGCAAAATATCTGGGCAGGGTGAAAACATCACTGTTCAGAAGGGTAAGTGTACTGGCAAGTGCGCATGTATGGGTGGATCTGAAGCAGTGGGCACGAGGGGAAGACAAATATTAAGAGGTCTGTGTGAACCCACTTTTCTTCTTTGGCAGATAATATTCTCAGCTGCTCAGCTGTAAGCCTGCTTCTGAAGAACTCCTGGTCCTGGATGGTCTACCTGCTGCTTTTCTTCTATCATACACACAGCTAAGAAAGCTATTTTACAGAAAACATACAGGCTAGTGCACAAGCACACACATCTAACCCATCTCTGCTTTTTGTCTACGTCCACAAACATCCCTTGCATAAAAAACGCTGAACAACATGCTGCACAGATGTAACCGTCTCTCTCTGTCTAATCTTTTCTTCCAAGAAGCACTGAAACAATATTGGAATGTTTCCAGTAATAATGATGACTCAGATATGGTTCAACATAAATATTCAGTGATTTGCTATTTGTATGCATAAACACAGCTGTACTCTGGGTATGTGGGTAAATATTACTGTGGAAGATGCTGCATTTGTTTCCTGTGTTTTCAATAAAGATACAACTTAAAACCTGATTCTAATTTACTGTGAATTCAGAGCTCACTGGACTGAGATAGAAAGTTTGAGATGAAGAAAATGGAACGTGTGTGTGTGGGGGGGGAGGGGGGGTGTTTCTAATTATAAAATCAGTCTTATCTTCACCTTGACACTAAATAATGATTTAAAGGGGTCATGTTTTGGCATGATTTAAAAAGAAAAAAAAACTCCAGTGGTGTCTTTAAAGACTCCTAAAAGAAGAAGCTAAGGATTCATAAGAAGCTTGTC